CTTTCATTTCAAAGCAGATGCCTTGATTTGAAAGATATTAACTTAAAAAAAAGGAAAAAAAAAAGAAAACACAGACAATTACGAAAGGTCAATTTTATAAAACACAGCTAAAAAAATTCCTAAATAGATGATGTTTACCAAATGAATATGCCCTTCATTAATGAACTCTCCTCTTATGTTTTCTTAATAAATATATTTTTGATTTATTTGCATAATGCTGGTGATCTTATATATGTCTCAAACAATTCTTCAATACTTTTAAGCATTCACAATTTTTCCAGGGAAATTTTTCACAGCGTACTTAAGATTCATCAAGGACAAATAAAACATACTAATTAAGATATCCTAGTAATTTTATACTTGCGAATTGAAAAAAAAAAATTGTAATTCCTCGGAATTATGACCCTGTGGAATAAAGTATGTTTACAGAATTAATTTATTTGATATTCCATCATTTTCTGTCAACAATTTACCTCAATGTAATATAACTATTATGTATAGCTTAATTTCCCTCCAATCTGCACAAAAAACCTTTCTATACATTTATTATATCAATGATATAGTTTAATTTATATAAAAAAAATTATAGATCTGATTATGTGATTTCAACTTATCAGATAAAAAGAATGAAATCAAAATAAATACAGAGAATTAATATTAAACCAAGAAAAAATGGGGATGTTATTTAATCACTGAATCATTATTTTATTGAAAGATGTAGTCTCATATAACTGCAGCAGTATGTGCAAACAAAATGAGTAACACGCGTAATGCAGTACGAAAATTTGTTTGCACACACCATTGCAGTTATGAGACTATATATATATCTTTAAAAAAAATAATAATTCAATGCTTATATTTACATATTTTAATTCTTTGCCTTTCTACAAATGTGATTTATTTTTCCAAATCCCTGTATTACCCTTCAGGTAAGTTACAATTAATGGAAGAGCCAACAGCTTCTGTTCAATGTGAGTGTGAATTTTGATTTTCGCCTCTGAAGTTGCACTTGCATGGCGTTAAAAGTTTGTGACATCAAAATAAAATGCATACTTCAACCTTTTGACCCCCTGTCCATGTTATGGTGTTTTGAATGCTGTCACTTTCCACACACTTTATGAGCAAAAAAAATTGGAATGTAAACATTATAGGTTGTTTGTCATGCAAGACGGGTACATGCCACAAGTCACAGTTAAGGAATAGATTGAAAATTTTATTATGAAGAATTTCCTAGTCTTTGAGAGATAAATGCTTGCAAGGGGCATAACTCTCTTTGAATGATAAATAATGTTTCTTCATATCCAGTTACTATATATATATATTTTAATTGAAGGTGATTTTAAATTCCATCAAAGGTTTGATGAGTCATATGATGCAAAATTAATACAACTATACACAGCAATAATTAAAACAAAACTAACAATAACTCTAATCTACATTTGCCCTGTCTCTGTGAGACCCTAAACTTAAAAACTGTGATATCTATATACAATAGAGCTCACTCTAGTACATTCCTCCCTCCTTCTGTATCTGCTATAAACTTCCATCAAAAGCTCCTCATATAAAACCAAATATTGTCTGGTGAAACCCCGAGGGAACATCATCTAGGAAGATCTAAAAGCTGGGGAATCCTGCAGGACTTCAGCAATGTCATTCAGAAACGGTAGGTCCATTCCATTATTGTCAAAAACTCGATAACTCTATTACCAGCTTCCAAATATGATGACAAAGAATTGATAAGGTATTGATAATGTCCCCATAAGGCTTCCTAATTAAATCTGGATACTAAATACAGCTTGCTCTCTCAGTAAATGTGTAGTTCTTTTACTTCGCTCAATAACAATTATGGTTGTTAAACGATTAATTTTTTATTTTCCATGGATTCCGAAATTTACAGAGCCTCAATGTATCTCTGAATAGAACTCCAAATTCACCAAGTGAAATAATATTTCTACATTCCACAATTTAATGAATATATGTGAAAATTAATGTATAAAATACTGTAAATTTTCTTAAACATCAGGTGTGTATAGCACTTAACATTTGAGAATGTGTCTACATTGTATACTGTAGTAAAAGTACTGAACCACATTACCCAATATTCAAACCATTAAGATGACGTATGAATTAACTTACATGTAAGTACAAGCAGAAAGTTATAATGATATACATTGGTATAAAAAAAAAAATTAGACCTTCAAAACATTACTGAATATGTCTTTCATTGCTAAATAAATACACATGTAATTTTATGTAAATACATAATCATATATTTACAATCATATATATTACAAAGTAAAATAATATGCTTGCTAGTGCATTTAAAAATATTATTTAAGAAATTTGAAAATATTTTCAATATACACACCATACTACTTAATATTGCATCAAAGACAAGAGTCCATGCCATGCAGGTTCAAAGTACTTACACACATGAGTATTTGTATTACTGTATAGCAAATTATACCAAACACTTAGAAAGGTATAGAATTTCTTACAATCATGTACCCAAAAAATATAAAATTTCTTACAGCCAATATACGTCTCAATATGATATTCTACTTTTTTTAACCCTTAATAATAAACTCTGATATCTACCATTAGGATTTCTGATAGTCATGTAGATCAAAAGTGTTCAATTTCTTCTTGTCATTCTCACATGTATTAATTTCAGCTTTTACACTTCTAAATTAAATTCTCACCATTTTTTTTGCAGCTGAGTTTTTGATATTATTAATTTGTATACTGTACTTTTAAGTTTTTTCCACCCCTGTTCATCCATTTCCAACAGAAAGAGCAATTTGATTGTGAATTTTTCTTTAAATATTTGCAACTTATTCATAAATAACTCTTTAGTAACACAGACTGGGCAATGAACACTGTATTTAAAAGTTGTGCACTAATATCTTTAATATCTTAATAGAAAAAATTAAAATTACAATTAATGTTTCATTACAATGCAGTGATTATTGTTGAAAAAAAAAAATACAAAATATATTTTAAAACATCAAAGACAGATAAAAATCATTTTTTTAAAAAAAAAAAATACTTACCCTCATTGTAACATCAATTTTATCCACAATGGCAGAAAAAAAATTCTCTGTGTTTGGCAACAAATTCTCTGTTTTATGTTCCCCTTGTACGCATGCCTTCTGTCTCTCTTTCTCACTTCATTCACAAAAGTTCCAGTCCTGGGGCTAAACTTCATTCAAATAAACCTAATGAAACAGCTCCTGATTGGTTGACGGTTTCCCCTTCAATTGATTAGTTCCCTTTCCAATACTGGCTTAATTATGAACCTGTAAAAGTCACCCCTGAGTGGTGACTGGTGCACACGACTGAATTAATATTGATGTAACATCAGGGTTTTAACACACTGACTGTCCACTCTCATTGGGTACTTTCCCAATAGACTCAGATAACTAGGTACTGTTGAGACAACACTATAGCACTAGATGCCTTTAAAGATAAATTCAATACTTCAGACAGCTTACTCAGTCTTGTTCCTCATTCCCATTTTTTTCCCAGTGCATTGTAATCTGACCTTTTTCTTCTTGTAACAATATATATATTTGTACTTCATAATGTAATAATACCTATATACATCTACTTTGATGAAGCAGCTGGGCTGAAAAACTTCTTTTCTTGTAATGAATGTTTTAAAAATATATTTAATTTACTGAGTCAATAATTCCAAAGTACATGCACACTCAGTCATTAAATAAGGTATAAATTTTAAAGCTATTATACAGTTCTTACTATATAGAGCTGTATAAATTTTCACAATTTTACTGATATTAAAATTCACCATATATTTCACCATTAATAGAGAAAACTGTTCAAAGTACAGACTGATTAAAGTTGAACTTTACAAATATTTAAAATTATACTGTTGTAACACCCAAAGTGAGAAAAATTAATGTATAGTTTAAATTAGACTAAACATTTGCTACAACCTGTTCAGCTAAAAGAGCAGAAACTTACATTGACAGAGCTGTACTCATTTGATGTGGACACTTGGTTAAGCAGGGAGTTAAACTACCTTAGAAACCCCCCTCCCTCCCCCCCCCAATGACTCCAGGGCAAGAGGTGGCCATGCTGAGGCTTTAAGCTGAGGGAATATTTTAGACATTTACCAGACATTTTAGACCTATGTTATTTCATTTTGTAATCCTGTTTAATTATTTTACTGTCTCTATCATTTTTCCAATGATTTCAAATAAGAAACATGAAATAACCAAAAGCCAACATATGGATTGCAACTTTCTGGCTGCATGCAGTCAAGAATTATTAATGTTTACAGTGAATGCATTGGACATTTTAATCTCTAAATATAAATTCTAGTATGGTTCTTTTTTAATATTTTATGCTTTCTCTTTCTTTTTTTAAACAATGTGGATGCTTAGGCGAGGACTGTACATGAGTATTCTTAGCTACAGTGTTATGTCACCGATTGTAATACATTATGTAACAGCTAGTGTAAATGAAGTATAAAAAAAAAGATTTCCTTCTTTTTCTGAGAAGTCCAGTAACCTGAGCATCAAACTTGAACATTAACCCCATTATAACCACCTTGCAGGTGATTATCATATCTCATTTATGAAAAAGAATGACTAATAAATATCCCTTCATGAATGAGGAATCCCCATCAGAAAATCTATTCTCCCACCTCTTTGAAAGAGAAAGAAGGATACTTGTAATAATGATGTAATTTATATATGAAAATCCTTCTAATACTTGTTACAATAACATAATTATTATGTTACAAACAGAAAGGTTTTAATTATCTCACTGTTTATCTTTCACATAGATAGAAGGACACCATGAAATGAGAGGAAGATGAAATGAGATGTAAAAAAGTGTTTTACCACCGAGATCATTATCTGCTGGTGTTGATGAATTGGATTTCAGGCTCATATTTTCTGTATCATTAATTTATCACTGTATGATCTTTATAGAATATTTGAATGTTAATTCCTTTGAATACGAAACCAATTTACCATCAATAACAGGGGAGACAGATGCAAATCAGCGGACGGCAATCAGTAAATTAGATTCTCCATGATCCTCCAGTCTGCCCCAGCTACCACAGCCCTGGGTGGCAAATAAATTCCACTGCTAATCTTCTCCAGCCATAGATCACCGGGGAAATTTGTTTGACTTGCCTCCTTCTAAAACAACCAAAATAACAAGAATGAAAATTAGCACCTGGATATCTCTTGGAAAAAAAAAAACCTGACATGTGCCTAAGTGACGACTTAACTAGCACTGTTACCTTTGTTCTTAGTTTGTTCTTCTTCCATAGGCCGTCAGGAATGTTTAAAGCTACCTACAGACAATCCAGCCTGATGATTTAATGAATTAATGCATAAAATGTGTTCTTGAAAATATGTATTGATTTAAAAAAAGTGTCAAAGTCAGATAAAGACGCTTATGGGTCTTGTACTAAATAGCTCATCAGAGTTTCTTACAGCTATAATACATTTGCAATTCAGGGAACCCTCCCTACTACACCCCCTGACCAAATGACATCAAATGTCGACTCCGCATCATTACAAAAGACAAAAAAAGTATGCAAGCCTTAATTTCCAAATCTTGTACTAAATAGCTCATCAGAGTTTCTTACAGCTATAATACATTTGCAATTCAGGGAACCCTCCCTACTACACCCCCTGACCAAATGACATCAAATGTCGACTCCGCATCATTACAAAAGACAAAAAAAGTATGCAAGCCTTAATTTCCAAATCTTGAACACTCAGGTATCTCAATTTTAATTGTCTAAATTCTGCTGAGTTCACAATTATTAACCAAGATATAATGTAGACTTCACTGAGTTAAAATCTCTCCCCCCCCCCCCCCCCCCCCACCAAAAAAAAATTAATTCAGGAATACATAATGAATGAAGTGACATCTATATATTTAAATACTGTCCAAAATTCCACATTAATTCATATTGATTTTTGTTGGAATCTACCAAGTGATGATGAAGGTTATGTCCTCCGTGAGTATATATTGTCTCCATAGTTCCATTTATTTTACCATTCCCTGGCCATCAACAATGTACTGTAATTATAACCACAGTTGGACCAAGAGTACAGAAAACAATGGCTGACAACAGAACTGGGCTGAAACCACAGGGACCAGACACTTATTATGATAAAACTAATTACTGTATAGAAATAGAGGAGTCCTGGTATATTGTAATACACAATGGATCCCTGTAGCTGAAACTGTACAATAAAAGAAAAAGTCACCATTTACATCTGTCTATATGGATTGTCAGTAACCATGCATACATGTACATGTATTAGTAAAACCAAGGACTTCATTATATATAATATATCTCTTTAGTAGGAAAAGGAATACCAGAATAGGCCAGGAACAATACAAAATTCTCCAGAAGTATATACAATAAAACATGCTTGTAAAAAAGTGCCAGGGACAGTTATTTTTGATTCATAATAAATGTTATTTGTTATATCTGCTAGTATCTCGATAAAGTTTAAAGTCATGGGGAATGAAAATCACTTTGCTGTAAGCATCAATTCATTATAAGCGTGTTCGCTATTAGCATATTTTACTGTATAGAGAATATATGCTTTCTTTTCTTTTTTTTCTTAACCAGAATTATGATCACACTGTGAGCATGTGATACATACACAGTCAAATCTTGTTATCTTGAACTTGAAGGGATCACGAAAAAATTGTGCGATATCTGAGGGTTCAAGATATTGATAACAAAATATGTAGAGAAAAAGTGGTTTGGAATTCCAACTCACTTTAACATATCCATGGTATTAGAGAATATCTGATGTTTTAGACACCACAGTTTGTTGGTAATCTTTGCATAATTTATGTAAATTATCACAAGCTGCCAGATGGTTATCATCTCAAGCACACCAATAATAGATACATTTTTTATTCCTTAAGTAAATACACCTAATCCAAACTATCTTCGCAGTAGTGAAAATTTTAGATTGGCTTCAAAGCATTTTGTTTCTGTGGGTTAAAATGTAAAAATACAGTCAAAAAACATCAAGATACTCACCTGAAGTCACTTGTACCTTTCTGATAAATGAATATTTCTATAATAAATGAAACCCTCTTAGTCTGTAGCCATCAACTAAGAGTCTCTGTTTTCAAATTCAACACTTCTTAATACATTCACTTCTGTGTCAAATTATAAATTATAGCCTTGCTTCTCTTGCAGAAGTCTTGTATATACTATGGTGTACAAATTTGTTTCACAATTTTGGCCTGACCCTATCTCCAGGGGCCATTATGGGAATAACAAGAGGCACAAGGCCCTAGAATAGCTCTTCCGAAAATTGTACAACCTATAATCTCATCCGTTTTAACCCTCTTGGTAACCTATATATAAGGTTAAAGTCTTGAAAATCCAGAAGTAGGTCAGCATGGCAAAAACTGACAAAAGTTGTTGATTCCAAGTCAATTAGTATCTGAAATATTTAAACTTAGCCATGAAGTTGCAAAAGTACGGTAGGTCACAGTGACCTACTTTTAGGTTGATACACTCCGAGGGCTCAAGATGCACCGACAAAATTTGATAATTCTAAGCCAATTAGTATCTGAAATAGCAATCAAAATTCCAAAAGTAGAACATGGTGACCTATTTTTTGGTTAACACACTTTGAGGACTCAAGATGCAACAATTGACATAGTTTGAGGATTCTAAGCCAATTTTATCTGAAATAACCATAAAATTTCAAAAGAAGGTCATGGTGACCTACTTTTTGGTTGACAAATTCAGGGTACCCAAGATGCATCAACTGACAAAAATTGAGAATTCAAAACCAATTAGTATCTAAAATATTCAAATTAAGCCATAAAAGTGCAAAAGTAGGTCACAGTGACCTACTTTTTGGTCGATACACTCCAAGGACTCAAGATGCATCAACTGACAAAGTTTGATGATTCTAAGTCAATTAGTCTCCAAAATATTCAAATTAAGCCATGAAATTGCAAAAGTACATTGTAGGTCAAGGTGACCTACTTTTTGGTTGACACACTCCGAGGCAAAGTTTGATGATCCAATACTTCAATATGATATGAGGTCCAAAGATGCATCAACTGACAAGATTTGATGATCCTAGGCCTTATAGTGCACAAAGAACAAGGTTCACTTAGGGCCTTTTTTGGTCCTGTGAATTTCTGAAAAACTGAAACTGCTTAGTTTTAGTTGACAATGCATTAAATTTCATTTAGACATTTGGTGAATACGAATCTGCCAAAAATGACGTAATTTTTTGGCTATAGTCAATGCATTATGACGTCATGAAATGCGTCATTTTCCTCATATCCTGAACAATTCAACAAAAACAGCCAATTTTTAAAGCTATTTTTCGATATTTAATATAGAGCGCAATCTCTGATCTAAAATATGCAATTATTTACTGATAGAACCGTTTCTGAGGATTACAAAACATGTTTTATTTTTTAGATCAGAGGGTGCGCTCATATTATTTTTCTTCTCTGAAAGTACTTGAATATACCTGTTTTCCTTAAAATTCAAGGACATTGCAATTCCATAAAGCTTGTTTTTCAAGACCTGGACTTTAAGGAGAAAAATTTTAATAGGAAATGAAAGCACTAAGTCTCTACTTTATCTTGATGTTTAAAATGGAACATAAGGTGTTAATCAATAAATTGGTATATCTACAGGGCCATTTTATGCATAAAGTGAACCTAGCTCTTTAAAAGATTAATCAAAACGTAAGTTTCCTAATTATCTCCCCTTGTTTAAGGGAAACATGCATCCTTAGTTTTAGTATAAATGAAAGCCCTTTGGCCAAGGATACTCTGTGACAAAATTTAAAAAAAAATTAAATAAGGCGTTCTTGAGATATATGGCCCATTTTCCAAAACGTTTACTCATACCGAACAAATGGCCATAGCATTAGCTCTTTGAGCCTTTGACTCAGAAGTCCCCACTAAAGTATGCTTGCATATTAACAAAATAAAACATTGTGGCCTTGCTGATCTTGAGAGGAATATAAAAGATACTTTCTATGTATTTCTATGTGAGCTTTTATCCTCTAATTGTTACCCCATCATAAAACTGAATCTAAATTCCAAAAAGAAGCTTTCACATCTTCTGTTTTATCTGACCCTACCATATTTTCCCTGGATTTTGATGTTTAAGCACCATGACCAACAACAAACATCCACCTAGTGCAAGATTCCTCAAACTCTTATACCTCAGCTTTTCAAGTGGATGTTTTGTCAGTGATCACTTCTTAAACAGCACAAAATGCAAATTAGTAAACATGAAAAAGTGACAACCTTCTTGCAACAAATTACTGAGAATCAAAGATTGGGCACTTTGAAATAGAACATGTTACACATACCAGCTGGTTGTGGGGAATTCTGGGTTTTTTAGTGCGAGGTCCACTACCTGTGACTCGATCTCCAAGCCTGCACATCAAAACATAAAAGTAAACGTTAAAGAGTCAGAAGAATCTCAGATTAATAATATTTGCCAAATATTAAGGCACTGCAACTGAGGATTCAATTTGACAAGGGAAATAATATTCTTGACATAGTCACACAGTCCTATGCTTTTTATACTTTTTTTTCATAAGATCTGTTTACGATGACCATAAACATTTATACTCTCTGTACAAAAGAATTCCAGCTCCCACCTCCCCATCATAATTATCTGTTACTATTTACCCTACCTACAAAAAGTTATTATTCATGTGGCAAATGACCAGAAAAAATTATATCAGGTATTGTTTTCAGTAACATCAGCCATGACATTTACTGCCAGAAAGACTCCGAGCATCAATAAGCAACAAAACCGGTGTTCCACAAATGACTTCCTGCATGACAACCAAACATGCACTAAAGAAATCAGATATAAGAATTTAAACAGAAATAATCTCTTGTTTCAAATCACATTATAAATACAGTTATAACGTATTTTGATATTAATTTTGCAATAAATTATATAGAGAACATAGGCTTTTACAGAGCCATATCAGCCTCCACCCACACTGTAATGCCCAGGAACTATACATTTGCATTTGCAATTGTGACGTCACATCTCGTATTTCCTCTCTCTCTCTCTCCATTCTTAATGACATCACAGATGTACACATTTCACGTCACAAATATTTGTTACTGAAT